GGCTTCAGGCTTTCGATTTCTGGAAGAAGTGACAATGACACACTTGGTGGCTGAAGCCTGGTTAGTCTCACAAAAGATGTGGAGGTCCCACTAAGCTTTACATCTGCTACAGCACTTGGTGTTGCGGTCTTATTACATGTTGGGCACGCAAAGATGCCTTTGTTATTATTTAAGTTGGCTGTCTTATCGAACGCAGTTCTCCTTCTCTTGAGCATAACTGGAGTGTAAGCTGACCCACTTATTCAGTTGCAAGAGGAATCTGCCTTTGGTGTCACTAACATATGTTAGTGTTGATGGGTATTGTTGATGTACTGTTCCACAGACAGTTGTGTCCGTGCCTTTTTACAAGCATTAGACATACCTAGTTGCATGCCTGATATGTGATTATTCATTTGAGAATCCAATAGCTTAATGATGACGCTAATAACAAAGTTATGATACAGTTACGAAATTACGTTAAAACAGTGTTACTATAAGCTATCCCCAAATCGAATTTGGCTGGCTTCCATTTCCAAGCGACCTTGAGCCAAATAGGTGAAGTGGGTTTCTCATATCGGGTAGTGCTCAGGTAGTTTGCTACATGGAATTCGCGGAAGTGTATGCCGTATACTCCAAATAATGGGATATTTTGTTGTAAGGGATTTATATTATCGACAACCACCTTTTGGACACAAGTGGTTAATCTTTTTGTTTTTTAGGGAGTATATATCAAGAAACGTAACAGTGGCCCTGATCCCGTATATTTCTAACTTTTACTGTGCACAAGTTGGTTTTGTAACATTATTGTGCACTGAGAATCGTCAGTTTTCCTGTAATATGCTTGCTACTGCATTTTCCTTTTTTTACTTAATGATGAATCTGCATTTTTAAGTAGGACATCCCAAGCCTCCGAGAATGCTGCAGTCTCGGTAGACATAACTGGAGCATTCCAGGAAGTGGTTTTGTCGAAGTTATTCTTCAGCTGGGAAGCTGTTGAAGAAGCAGCCAATGAATTTCAGAGAGTATGTAACTGTTGTATTTTACGATGAACGTAGGTTACTTGCACTCACTATGTGCATTCGAAAAGCAAGGGATCCGGAGATCCTCATTTGAAGTACACTGCAGTCGTGTTTAAGTGTACTTTCGGTGTAGAACGTAAACCCCAAGGTATGAGTTTGGTAACAAAAAACCGAAATCCCTCCCGTCTGTGGGAACAGTCTTAGGTCCAAATTTCAAAACTGTCCGTCAATGTTTCGTTTTGCACTAAAGATGGATGAGTATACTGTTAGATCCTACAAAATGGTTTATAACCACCCTTGCACTCAGTCATTTATGGTTTGTGATACCTGGAGCAGACGTCTAACAGGAGAAGAGAAGGAGAATTTGAGGCTATTTTACAGCAGTCATCCTCTACAGATGATGTCATTCTGTATGTTATGGATGAATGGAACAGGGTAGTTGCGGCGAAGAATGTAAGGAACATGAAATTGAAAGTCATTAAAGGTAGTTTTGCAATTATGAATATAATTCTGCTTAGATAGTGGGGCGCAATCGGATGTATTCGAAGTTTTGAGTAAGAGGGGAAGTTTGAAGAAGTTTTTTTCGGAGAAATGTAGTTCTCAGGTGTTATCCAGTGTGCTTTGCCCCGACTGAGCAAATACGACTGTATCACCAATATCCAGAAGTAACACCAACCGGCGAGGGCAAAGTCTCTATATAAAGATAATTAGATAGGTACGGATTGTTTCAGTTGGTGATTACTGATAACTGCTGTCGCGGACGTTCTGTGCTGTTTGCATGGACAAAGAAAGAGCTGAAAAGGGATGTGATGTGGATCCTGGATAGTTTTAGAGAACTTATGCAGGAGACAGGGATGACGCAGACGTTTATTGTGGGCTGCTCACACGCGGAAATCTTCGCCGTCCAGGAGACGCACAGGCAAGCTAACATCGTGTCTTGTGCGTTCCATGTATGCCGGGTGTTGTGTAAAAGAACAAGTCCGAAAAAAATACAGTATTAGCACAAATTACAGACCAAGAATTCGTTAGTGAAAGCATACCTGTGTCGTTTGGTATCATGTGAATGCACTGGGAGGTAAGAAGTTCTACAGGTTCTACAGGTATTACAGAATCATTAGTAGATTAGACCGTAACGTCGCCGAATACGTCAACCGATACTGGCCGCATCGAAAAGGTGTGTGGAGTGCGGCGTTCAGAAACGATGTTCTGACTCCGTGGAACAACGCAACCTTGTTGAAAGTTCCCATAGGCAACTGGAGAGGTACCTCAGGAGATCTGACGCCTTGCATAAAAGTATGCT